GATGGGATGCGCTACAGTGTTCCGTTCATTAACTGAAAACAGGCTAGACTAATCGATTCTTGGTATTTAAGAATCAATATCGTTTTGCAAAAATGAGAATTGATTAAAATCGAGAAATTTATATTTTTACCCAGTCCTACTTACACTAGCAGTGAATAAATGTTAGAAAACAGAAATGAATCTTACAGGTTATGAATGGGTCATAGCTCGAGAGGCTTTTTCTCTGGGGTCTGGGTGTTTCATGATGCCACGGTGACTGTGCCGGCTGCTCGGGAGACTGTACAGTTGTGTCCTGTGGCCATGTCAGTTCACTGTTAGGTTCTGTGATGTCTTGTGATGCTCTGTCAGAACTTCTTGTTTGCCACAGCTGCTGGGAAATCTGGTGAGGCAGCAGAGTATTTTCAGGCCACTCGGAGGCAGGACTTATCTCCAACAAGGATGGTCTTGAAGTTTCCGCAATCTGTGTCACACCCGGGGATTGATTTTGACTTTGTCCTAGAGGACTTGATTGTAGCTCATTAGAAGCTGAACAAATCCTTTTGGACAGTGGCTGTATTTGAGGGGCTTGTGGCAAATAGCTTTTTAGGGGTGTGGTAGCCACCTCATCACAGTCATAATCATCCAGTAGGCACCGGTCTCGTCTTTAGCGAAGGCGAGAAATTTAATGATTACTAAATTTGATGAAGCGAGGGTGACATGTTAATGTGAAAATGCGATTCAGCAAAATATTCCCTTTTTGCAGTTCAAAAAGATGTTAATTTGTTAAACTGCACATCGATACAAGGACCTGTTAGACAGGTCTGTGTTAAAGAATCACATAATATAACCAATCTTACTTTATTTTGCATTTTGGTGGCATCAGGGAGTCAGGCACAGCCTCTAACTGGAGATCGGTCTGCTGTTCTGCAAGAGGTAGCTTTCGGCATGCTTCACTATAATTATCTATGAAAGACAGAATTAAGAAATCAGAACAATCCAAAAAGTTGTTTACCATTTAACCCTTTTTAATTAAACATAATGTGTACATAAAGGATTTAGACATACTTGTAGCATACATTATTTTTACTTTATATGCAGACCAAGACTCCTGGGGTTGCTCCAAACACTTGGCTGCCCTCTGAACTCTTTCACCTTTGTATGGAGGCCATAAACACACACCACTCTTCACCCAGATTACAGGCACAACCTCCACTTCTTCAGTGTCAACAAAACTGACAATGTGGTACATGATTTCTGCAAGCAAAACACAAAAGTGGATAAACATTAAACAAAAAAAAGATAATATAAAAGGCAAATACATAAATATCAATTGTGACTTTTAGATGTCATACTAGTGTAGATTGTGTCCAAGAGTAGCTCAACATTTCCGATTTCAATTCTGGGGGAAAAAAATCAAATGAACACACTCACACACACACACACACTCACTCACACACACACACACACACTTCATTTTAAATGACATTTCTGCAAGTAGTTTTCAAAAGGAAATCCAGATATTAGGTCTAAGTGAAATCACAGCTACGGCGAATCAATCCATAGCATACACCACAAATTCTGGGCCATACAACTTACTGAAATGTTCAACGAATGAGACAGGTAATGCATTGCCTAAGTCATTCATAGATAAACAGAATGACGGATTTGCTCAAATGCAAATTGCAGCAGATAGAAGCATGAAATTATTAGCTATACACTTGCTCAGCCAGACAACCTCTGACAACTGGCCTAGTATATAGAAGACATCGTCTAAATCTGTTGCTTTCCATTTTAGTCTTTCTTCCAGACCCCTTGGTTTTCTGGCAAAGTCAACTGGGACAAAATCTTTTAAATGAATTAATCTCTCAGAGATTAGAAGGCCCACAAATCCACCAGTCTTCGTACCACACCAAATGCATATAGCCTAATCATGAGGAAAACTAACCATCCCTATTCCCTAATATTGTTTTCGACCAGAGGTGAATGTCCTAAGTGGTGATCTTCATCCTCCACAGCTTGCTTACAAGACTCACCAGTCCTTTGAAATGCATGACTCTAAGGGAAATACTGACACCTGACTGAACACACCCGTCACATCCAGAATGGCCAGTATGAGTTTTAATGCATTTGACAAAGGCTCTAGCAGGAGCATCACATATAATTGAAGTTGCCTGCAACCAAAAGGTCTTGCCACAAATAAAAAAAAGGCCGCTATCAAAGCAACCTGGGCTTCCATTACACCTCAGCAGTGCCACAGGCTGATCGTCTCCATGCCACGCCGCACTGATGCAGTAATTCATGCAAAAGGAGGCCCAACCAAGTACTGAGTACATGTACAGTAAATGAACATACTTTCCAGAAGGCCAACAATTCACTAAAAATGTTTTTTTATTGGTCTTATGAAGTATTCTAATTTGTTGAGATAGTGAATTGGTGGGTTTTTGTTCAATGTGAGCCAAAATCATCACAATTAAAAGAACCAAAGACTTAAACTACTTCAGTCTGTGTGCACTGAATTTATTTAATACACGAGTTTCACAATTTGAGTTGAATTACTGAAATTAATGTACTTTTCCACGACATTCTAATTTATTGAGATGCACCTGTATTTAGTTGTAACTTGAATACATGTCTTTCTGGAACTTTAAAAGACAGGTTTTCAAACATTTTACCAAGGGAGTTCAATATTCCCAAAGAGTAGAAACAGCCGCCCGATAACCTTTCCAGCACATACTGATTTGTTGTATTGAGCAAAGAATATCCATCTTTCAGAAAGAAGGAATGCTGTAAGAGCAACCAAAGAAACGCCAAACTCAACTGCCCAACCTGACAGTTTGCCAAATCACTAGAAACACCTCCTCCTCGCTTTCATGAGCATCCATCTCTAAACTGGCAGCACTAGAACCTGCTTCAGCGCCATCTTTGGTTGGCCTCTTTCCAGGCTGGGAATGAACTCGTTTTTCCAAAGATTCAAACACCGTATTGACTCTTTGAACAGCCCCTTTTCTCCTGTTACTTCGCTCACCATAAGCCTATAGGTTTCCATTATGCACTGTAGAATAATTCTAGCAACGCTAACACAAAACAAGTCCAAGCAGAGGAAAGAAGTGCAAGTTACGTGAACAAAAAGTAAATCCAGGAACGCGCTGTAGAACAATGAGTGAAATCTACGTGTTGGTTGAGATTTAAATAAATGCTGACTTACCTTGAAGTATTACAGCTGCAACAGACACAACGGCAGTTAGAAGTTCACCTCCAGACTGTGTTGTGTTGTGTTGTGTGGGTCGTTAGCGATGTTGGATTCGAGGGAACTAAGCGTCGAGTGGTTTTTCTGTGGGTTGCTTAGCAACTGAATATGTCGATCGCGCCACCTGCTGTCCTGGAGTATACATCACGCCTATATATCCTCCTGAGAACCAGAAATAAAAAGCTTTGAGAATTTAGTATTTTTTCATGTCATTACATTGTTTAGAGCATAAGAAAAAAATGGTAAAATAAAATTTTTTAAAAATTGTATTTCATTCATAAGTTATACTATGTCCTCTGTAGAGGACACGAGGACTCAATTTTTCTAAAAATAAAATTAAAAGAATAGACATGAAAAGGCAAAAACAATGGGATCTTTTTTTAAATCACCAATTTCAAGATTTTTTTATACCTAACTTTGTTTAAGGATGGTTCTCAACTATGTTATAAAATATATAACAAAATGATTTGATATACCATTTTGCTTTATGCAATATGTGTGTAAAAATTCCATAAACTGGTTTTCCCATTAAGCACAATGTTATCTATACACTGTATCTAATTTGCATATTAATGTGCTGTTGGGAAAGCATGTTGAAAAAAGAAGTGTAATAATGGGAGTAGTCATTGGCCAGATTTTCATAATATCTAATATTTCATAAGAATATTGATGTATAATTTGTTTTCTTATTCAATTCTTTTGTCTTCCAAAATGTATAATAAACATGCTTTTAGTCCTGGTGTCCTCTACAGTGGACATGTATGAAATTATGTCCTGTTTCATAACAGAAGCTCATATTTTGATTTGAAACCCAATAACATTTTCCTAAGATGTTGATTTATGACAAACAATTTGAAAATTAATCAGATTTAAGTTGTAATTACAAAATATTATCATATTTCCATCAGGATGTACAATTTTATCACTAAATTAATGTCAGCCATTTTTAAAAACCAAGGAGAGGGAGTGGTGATGGTGAAACAGCCAATCATTTGGTATCTCTGAAAGCCCTGAATGTGCTCTTTACAGGACAGAACTGTGACATGTGAGGTCTCAGAGAAATTCACTGAAATATAATGTCCTCTACAGAGGCAAAAACTCCATAGCTGGGTCTCAGGAGGATATAATGCACACAAGTATACTCAAGTCAGACTGTGTTTTTGGTTAAATGGTCTGTGTTAAAAACTAAAAAGGCTAAAGGTCTGTGTTTCACATGGACTGTGGTATAACATTTTATTCCATGACATAAAATACACCAGAAATGCCTGATTTAATTTTTGAAGGATTTATGTGTCTTGAAGAAGGCAGCTGCTAACACCTTGCTAAATGGGACAACAGAGTTTGTCTGGGACATTAAATGCCATGATGCCAAACAAGTACACTAGTTTATTCACTTGTCCACTTTCACAACTCCATTGTGTAAAATTGCAAAAAAAAAAATAATAATTCAAACTTGTATATTTGGTGCAGCCGTGGTATAGTAAGTAACTGTGTTAATTTGAGAAGATAATCATTCAGTGTAGGGAAGGTTACTTTGGAAATATAATAGATTTTAGAAGTTTACAAGCTTATAGGTTACAAGTTACCTTATTTATTTCAATTACTTCAACTGAATTAGAAGCAATGTAACTGATTACATTTGATTATTTTTTCAAAATTTTGAACAAATATTTTCAACTGTTAATAATTTTCAAAAATATAAAGCAGGCAGGGTTAACCTTACAGTAGTGCTCAACACTGATGTGATTACTGTCAGTAGTGGTACATCACCAGGGTGATGCTAACTTCTGGGTTGGCCTACAAAAACAGGTCAAAATAAATAACCTCCGGACCACTCTATTAACATTTCCCATGAACTATGTAAAATAAAAAAATCTTTATTCGTCACTTAAATTACAAAACAATATCTAACGGTGCATGGAAAGAAAAAAACAAAAAACAAGAGAAAGTGAATTCACGACAAACTCCCAAAAACTTTCTCAAAAGCATTTCTGTCCACCACTCGTCCCAGTCTGGTAGAGAAGTACATCGTATCAGAACAGCTGTAGCGCTTTAAACGCAGGATCGGCTCTCCTTCGGTATCCCCTGAATCTCCCAGAGTCATGACATCTGACACGGGCACGTATATGTCCCGTCTGTGACCCCAAAATGTCAGGTGCGACACCTTTAAGACGGTCTGCGTTGAATCCAGATACATCATGCCAACCACTCGTCTGACATAGTGACTTATGGAGTACAGCATGACGCCGGCGAACACGGCGATGCCTGTGGAGTAACTCAGCAGCATTACTGACGCCTGTCCCTGCAGGTAGAGGTAATACACCGCGGGCAGTAAGACGACAGTGATGCCCGTCTGCATCAGTTTGAGTCTAGAAAGCGCCCGCAGGCCTTTGATAACCGGAAAAGTGTAAACTGGACTGTATTTCCTTGAGGCAAGGTCTGAACAGAAGGACGCAGGTTGGATCTGATTCTGTACAGTGTGTGTGACTGTAATGGGCATCCGTCGACCCACATGCACCAGGTCACTGCCGTATTGCACATGAGAGTTTGAAATCAGTCCTGCACGATGACACCCATAGAGAGGAAGACGGGAAATGCCGATTAATCGTGCGGACATCATCTGAGGAGACAGTAACCATTGTAACGATTAGTGAGGGACGCTTTCGAAGCACTGCCTCGTGAAGCTTCGAAACTTTTGTGAATCGTTTGTTTCGAAACATTGGCGTATCGAAGTGCCAAAGTCATGTGATTTCAGTAAACGAGGCCTCTTTATGTCAAAACTGTTTTGAAACGTTTCGAATCATGCGAGTTCATTGAGATCGCCCCCCAGCAGCAAACCATTGAACCAGCGTCTATGGTTTTTCTTGATCTCGGATCAGTTTCATCAATTTGTAAACATTTTTAACGAGACATTTGCGTAACTAACCCCCGGTTTCACAAACCAGGCTTAGGCCTAGTCCCAGCCTAACATGTAAGTCTGAGCTGTTTCAACTGAAAGAAACTTGCACTAACCAATCTTAAAATATGTCAGTGCCTTTGTTTTGTCTCAAGATGCACACCAGTAATGTTTTTGATCTAAGGCATGTTTATAAAAACTACTTAAATGTCCTAATTGAACTACTGCCTAATCCTGGCTTAACCTAAACCCTGTGTGTCAAACCAGGCCTAAATAGATGAGAAGTAGTTAATAGTGTCTTACTGGCCTCCATTTACAAGCTTTCCATAAAACAAACAAAACAAACCCTACAAATAAATGAAAACAGACATTTTATATTTAATGGTGTATATATATATATATATAAATAAATTAGCGTATTATACTTAATAAAACATTTACAATGAATTTTTAACTGCCCTTTAGTGTCTTACTGGCCTCCATTTACAAGCTTTCCATAAAACAAACAAAACAAACCCTACAAATAAATGAAAACAGACATTTTATATTTAATGGTGTATATATATATATATAAATAAATTAGCGTATTATACTTAATAAAACATTTACAATGAATTTTTAACTGCCCTTTTCACAATTCTGACAGCAGGTGTCCTTAGCATGTGGTGTTTCGAGCGCTTCGTTTTCCCATCACTAGTAACAATAGTTATTAAAAGGACAAACGCTTACAATTGACTAGATAATATAGCATACTTGCTTAAATAAAAAAACACACACACATGAACCACGTTTAACCTGCTGTGGGTATAGTAGTTAGAGTAAGATAACGTTACTGGCTGTAAAGGGCAATTCTTCTGTGAACTCAAATTGAGGATATTTGCTAAAGTGTTTCAGACTTCTACATATTCGATAACGAAAGAAAATACACCAACGATAGCAAAATAATTCCCTAAAATGCATTAATGTCAACAATTTATGCAGCTTTGAAAGCACATACATCCACACAGGTTCAGTGCATCGGGCAGCGCTTCTGTGAAGAAGAGGGATATAAAGTCAGGCAGCGGCACTTCAAACTAAAGGTCCTTGTGTCGTTATCGCAATAAAACAACTTAAATAATTTATATACTTTTGACACGTAAAACTGTTTTCAATTGTAAAATTAAATAAAATGATAGAATATTGTATTTTTAGTTGCCTTTTTAATTTTTTCTTACCCTTTACACAGGGATTTTTAAGTCATAAAATGCTTGTGAGCTCAGTTTGAATAAAAGGTATTTGCAACTCGTGTTCTGGGCAGCTAAGATATAATAATGACAAAGAAAATACACAAAACAAATGGCCCAGATAAGTTAATGAAATGTATTCAAATTAACCATATATGCAGTTTTGAAAGCACTCGCATCTCCGCACAAGTTCAGTGCATCGCGCAGTGCTTCTGTGAAGCTGGACACTTCAAAATAAAAGTCTCCGAGTTGTTATTGCAATGACATAATTTAATATAACCTTGCTAAATTTGAAATGTTTTGAAGTTAATAATAATAATAGTAATAATAAAACGTGAAATTTACTTATAGGCCTAACCAAAACTCTTGTAAACACAGGGACTTTTGTGTCATAGTCAAGTTGTTGTTTTCTATAGTAGGAAGTTTCCACTAATTGGCATCGCGTCAGATAGTTATTATATTTTAGAGATCTTGCGCTCTTTGTTCATCAAGCAGCTTGAATGGAAATACATTTACTTAGGCTGTCATTAATATCAGTTAATGCGGTTTATCGTGCTGAGGTCAGCAGTCAAACTGGCCACGCAAGCGATTTCGCAATGCATCCGTGATGTCTTTAATACAGTTTCATGCCAGTTCATTAATGCAAGCCGCAGCAGGTTTGTGACCCAGTTGTGTGGCGATGAATGACTGACTCCAGTTTCAACATTTTGATGACACTCGCGATGCGGATCTCATCTGAAAGCAACGACGCTTATATCGACCGAGCAGAATACCGCTGATGCTACATGTTTATTGATCACCGATCGATTATTTGCAGTAATAGCGCTCGTGTGTTTGTAGGCTCGCTTTCTCAACATGCTTCAGTTTGGAGACGAGCTCACGCTGTTCTCTGTTGTCTTCGTCGTGGTTCTGCTGGGAACCAGGAGCGCCGTCTGGCCCACGGTGCTCACGGCCTCTCTCTACCTCTTTCTGGTGATGTTCCGGTTCCCGCAGGTCCCCTCCAGCCGGGCCAGACAGGTGCTTCGGCCCGCGTCCGGAGCGTCGTCGAGCGGCGCATCAGCGGTGGCGCACCGCGGCGGAGGACACGACGCCCCCGAGAACACCATCGCTGCTATACGGGCGGTGAGCATCGTTATGCTGCTTTCTGTTTCATGTTTTAGTGCAGGGCTGTCCAAACTCGGTCCTGGAGGGGCATAGAAACTTCCAGGCAGGTGTGTTGAGGCAACTTGGAGCTAAACTCTGCAGGACACCGGCCCTCCAGGACCGAGTTTGGACAGCCCTGTTTTAGTACTTAAATATGTTTTTTTCCCCCCTTCTCGTGGCAGTATTGATTTAGCAACTTAAATTCAGCAATTTAAGCTTGTTATTTTTAAAGACTACACAAAGTGATAAAAGCAGCATCACTCTTGATATGTGTCACATCGCTGACAGAAGCGATGCTCGATTTGTGAGCGAATCGTTCTTTTGAGTCGGATCTTTTCAATGAATCTGTTCAGCTTGTTCCAATGAATGAGTTTTTAAAGGGATAGTTCACCCCAAAATGAAAATGTGATGTTTATCTGCTTACCCCCCGGGGATCCAAGATGTAGGGGACTTTGTTTCTTCAGTAGAACACATTTGATGATTTTTAACTCCAACCGTTGAGTCCATCAGTCTTATAATGCATGGCAATGGTAACAAAATCTATGAGAGTAAAAAAAAACATGCACAGACAAATCCAAATTAAACCCTGCGGCTTGTGACGACACATTGATGTCCTAAGACACGAAACGATCGGTTTGTGCCAGAAACCGAACAGTATTTATATAATTTTTTACCTCTAATTCACCACTATGTCCAACTGTCTTTGGGCGCGCGCACGGCATCCGGTGTGTGAGGTGTGTACGCGCTCTGGCGTAGTTTACGCAAGCGCCGGAAGTGATCTCTCGCGCGTATATGTCACTCATTGTTTACACAGTGCACATTGTAGGTATGACGGCTAATCAAAATGGTACTTACTTGCGCTTTTCCGGATCGTTCAAACCGACTTAAAACTAAAAGATTATGTTCTCTCACGCGAACTCATTTGGAAGTGGTGACTTTCCACGTATTCCCAACTTCTGAGCCTGCTCGCCTGTAGATATGGTTGATTGCGCTTCGGCTGGATATCAACACACCAATTAAAGTAAACTACGCCAGAGTGCATACACACCTCACGCACCGGATGCCATGCGCGCGTTCAAAGACAGTTGGACATAGTGGTGTATTAGAGGTAAAAAATTATATAAATACTGTTCGGTTTCTGGCACAAACCGATCGTTTCGTGTCTTAGGACATCAATGTGTCGTCACGAGCCGCAGGGTTTAATTTGGATTTGTCTGTGCATGTTTTTTTTACTCTCATAGATTTTGTTACTATTGCCATGCATTATACGATTGACAGACTGCAACGATTAAAGTTAAAAATCATCAAATGTGTTCTACTGAAGAAACAAAGTCACCTACATCTTGGATGCCCTGTGGGTAAGCAGATAAACATCATATTTTCATTCTTGGGTGAACTATCCCTTTAAAGAATCAAATATAGCGGTTCACTGGCTGATTGAACAGAGAATCGTTTCTTTCAAACATGTCCGACTCGAGAGAACCGAAAGCTGAGGAGTGTTGCAATGTAAATATTATATTTAGATTGTTTATAAAACAAAATTTTACATGTATTTGTTTAGCAGATGCCTTTTTCCCAAAGCGACATACAAAACAGGAGCATAGAGCCAACAATATTCACAGTATATAAAGTATAATTTATATGAATTCTATACAATATATTGCATTTCCATATACATTTTATGATTAATATTTCTGTGAGCTGAACTGAGATGCTAAAAAGGTAGCGCTCAAGAAAGTGTAATTTAAAAAAAAAAAAATGCGTATCTAGATTTTACAGGTTTTTTTTTTTTATTGTATTTATTTAAAAAGAAATTTGCCATTCCTAACTTGCCTCTCGCAGTTTAAAAAACGCATTCTGTGTGAATGGCCCATTAGCCAAGATGACTTTAAGTTGACTCTTTGTCAGTGAATGGAAGGGCTAAACATTTGTTCCATTTAAGTATTTAATATTCTTTTAATGCACACTGGAAATGTCTACTTTCGTTTCTTTCTTCTTCTTTTTTTTTTTTTCAATCACCAGCACATGATCTTTAACCTCAAAAGCTCATTTCTTGTATTTCTTGTACCTTTCGCACATTGTGAAAGCATTGCATTAACTTTGGTTTTGTGGTATTATATCTCACACCAAGCACTGGTTTCTTCCTCTTATAATGACTCTCATTTCTAAATGAAAGGCGAGTGAGAATGGAGCCACAGGTGTGGAGCTGGACCTGGAGTTCACGGCTGATGGGGTTCCCATACTGATGCATGATGACACTGTGGACCGAACCACAAACGGATCGGGACCACTGAGCAAGCTGCTCTTCTCTGAACTGCGCAAACTGGATGCAGCGGCCAAACACAGATTGAGGTTAGACGGGAAGAAAGACAGCCTTGTTTCATACATAGGGTATAAATAAGCAAGACCAAGTTAAAGACAGCAGGTGGTATGTTTTTGTTTGTTGCGAGCAGTGACCGTTTCCGAGGTGAGAAGGTTCCAACGCTGCAGGAGGCTGTAGAGGAATGCATCAAGCGCCAGTTGACCATCTACTTTGATGTCAAAGGTCATCCAGATGAGGTACTGACAACTGTCGCAATTTACAGGACAACTGGCAACTGTCCGTTATTGCTGGGACTATTTCTTGTCCATAGGTTTTCTCAAAGATCTTGCTTAACAAGAACTTGATTTACAGTGGTGGCCATTTTTAGCTGGTGAAAATACTAGTGTTCTAATCATTTTGGCCACCACTGTGTGATTCTTGCATTAGCAGAGCAGAATGCTTTCATGTATCTGTTGTCCACAGGCAGCTGCAGCACTGAAAGAATTATTCCAGAAGTATTCAGTGCTCTACAACACAAGCATCGTCTGCTCATTTGAGCCCAAAGTCATCTATAGGGTAACGTAATCCAGCCCAACTGCATTTGATGTGATCTGCATTTCCTCATTTTTTGACAATCATACACTAATATAAAGGTGTATTGGCTGATCTTTTCCAGATGCGGCAGGCGGATCCTAATGTGGTGACCGCATTGACCCATCGGCCGTGGAGTCTGAGTCGGTTTGGCGATGGGACGCCGCGGTTCTCATCCGCGTGGAAACACCACTGGATGCAGGTGTTGGATGTGCTCCTGGATTGGGCCCATCATCACCTGCTGTGGAACCTGTGTGGAATTTCTGCCTTCCTGGTGCAGAAGAACTTCGTCTCGCCGTAAGTCAACATGTCATTATTGCTATTTTTAGATTATCATTGTGAGGCCATGTCATTATGTGCATTACATTACTGTAAGGTGTTTAACACACCTACCACAGGACCTAAAATAAATTGCGCCTGTCTGTCAGTTACAGAAAAGCTACTGCTGCATGTAACCGCTGAAATGGGAGTTGTATTAAAAGTGACCACTGTGTGGTTGTGTCTGACTATTATCCTTGACCACTGCTACACCACCCTAAGGGGCTGCTCACACAGAATGCATTTTTCCATTCCAGTGCGATACTTTAATATGCGCTAGACGGACGTGCAAGACCACTGCACTCGCATTTTGTGTCTTTTGCAGCGTCTTGCACATGAACGCCACATTTTTAAGACGTTAAAAGAATTAACTTTTACATGTAGCGCCGCTTTTCAGTGTCAATTCAAAAACTGTGGACCAATCAGAAGACTCTGGAGGCGGGGCAAGCGTCACAAGCTTTTGAACATGGTTGTACATGCATGAATGGTCATGTGACGTGTTTTCGGTTGTGTAGTGTGGATGGAGATCGTTTCTGAAACCAAGTGAAAACGCCAGTGTAGACGAGGATCGTTTTCATTTTAAAACGAAAATGCACTAGTGTAAGCAGGGCCTAAAAACGGCATAGAATAGTGCTTAAGTCCACAAATTGGGACGCACGTAATGTCTTGGCAAGTTTACAAGTACCAGTCACTTTTTTTTTTTTTCTGTAAACGTTCTAATTTTTTTTTTCCTGGTATTATTATCTTATTGGTACGGTTAGATTTTGTCAAATACTATATAAATAGTGCTGCAGGAATTACATCATTTTGTAGGCCAACCCTAAAACCAGGAAAATCACCTGGTTCCCTTGACAAAAAGCCAGTAGGGTTTTTCCATTGGCTTTTGGATTATTGCAGAAAATACGCTCAGTGGCCAACAAAAGTTAATGGAACTTGCATGTTTTGTTCATAATAAATGTTAAATTTACAAAAGAAAACAGCTCTTCTTACTTGTGAAGCCTAATTACATTTGCCAGAAGTAAAATGCTGAATGTACGTTATAAACTAACTACACCATGGTCACAGGACTTCAAAGTCACCACCATGTTTGGGTTAGAGTAGTGTTCAGTGTGATGCCATTTAATGTCCTTGACAACCTCTGTAGTCCCATTTAGCCATTGTTAGCAATTGCCTTTTTAAAGAAAAGCCTAAAAGCTTTAAAAAAAATAAGTGGGGTTTTACTGATGTTTTTTAATAACATAATAGCCTCGTGGTTAGTGCGTCGACATACAGTGCAACTGCGCTCATGGCGACCCGAGTTCGATTCCCGTCTCGAGGTCCTTTGCCAATCCTCTCTCCTCCCAGTGTTTTCCTGTCATCTCTCTCTACTGTCCTATCCATCTTGAGCTTGTGTTCACCACAAACCTTACTTCAGGCATTTAGCCAAAAAAAACAACAACATTGACTTCAGGACAATGGAACGGAAAATGTTTCTGGGTTTTACAACTCATTCCTGCAGCACTCTATACAATAAATGCATTTTTTTTTTGAGAAAAAAAAAAAAGTCAAGAGCAAGTATATGGATCAGTATAAGAACATTCAAAGCTGATCTAATCATCAGCACCATCTACAGTATAGGAGTGTGTATTGCACTATAAAATGCTCACTGTTTTTTCCCTAGGGACTATGTGCAGTACTGGGC